TTTCTACATTCTCACCAACATTTGGTGTCATCACTTTTATTTTTACCATTCTGATAGGAGTGTGGTGATATCTCCTTATGATTTTTACTTGCTTTTCCCTAATGGCTAATGATGTTAAACGTTTTTTTGTTTATTTTGTTTTGTTTTCCATCAAAGAATTTTTGAGTTAGAAATGGATGTGTTTCAGGAAGAATTTTTTCTGGCTTGGAGAGGTGATGAGAAAAGTAAGAGACAAGGAGATTAAGTTAGAAGCTATTGAATGTGTCTCGGTGGGGCCTCAGAAGGCTTCTTGAATGGGCAGGATGAAAATAGAAAGAATAGTGGCGATGCCTGCATGATTGTGATGGGAAGGATAATGGAGAGAAAAAGTAAAATGAAAATTTTGTTATTGATGCTTGGTGACTGAAGGGTCAGGATGCTTTTGACAAATATAAATAATTCATGGTTTTCTTTGTAACTTAGGAGAACATGATGAGTTTGGTTTGTAGTATGGCCATTTTTAGTGCAAAGGGGTTATTTAGATCGGGGCATCCAGAAAGAAGTTGCAAATTGGAGTCTGAAGTTTAGAAAGGTCATGGCTAGAAATATTGGAAAATCAAATATAGAGATATGATAACTCACATTTTGCTTGAGGATGAGCAGTAGTAAGCAAAAAAAAAAAAAAAATATATATATATATATATATATACACACACACACACAATCAGAGTTAGAAGGAAATTTAGGAGAGGCCAATTTAATAGACATTGGTGATCAGTAGAGTCACATTCCATGGGAGACTGAGAAAGAATAAGATAGAAGAAAGTGTTGAAGGCAGTTTCAGTTCAATAGTACATGCAGAGGCCAAACCTGAAGGGATTAAGGTGTGAATGTAAACAATACACAGTACATTTGGGGATTTTTTTTCCTTAACACAGGAGAAATGCTTATATAAAGAGAGAAGAGGAACCGATATGACCATGTAAGATTTAAGATGTGTGTGAGAGCAAATCTTCTCAAAGCTGCAGAGCAAAGTTGTGGATAGAAAGAATATGAGGGGCATGTTAGGGATAGATAGCATCGGGACACAGGAGGAAGCTCCCGCTTTGTCAAGGAGATTAAATACATATGTTATGGCCCCAAAAGAGAGGGACGAGAAAGTTATGTCCAATGCAGAGAGGAAGGAGCTGAGGACAGGCATCAGATGGGCCTTCTTGATCCTCTTAGGAAAGTAGATTGTTTTTTAGAAAATGTTTTGAATGACTGCAGATGATTTATTTTTTAACCTGACTTTGATTAAAGCCTGAGGATATGAGCAAAATACAGTCTTTCATTAAATGTTTAAGCAGCAACAACAAAAAAAGGAAATGCCAGCAGCATAAACAGTATGTCTTATAGTCTCGTCAGTGATTGTCTTAAAAGGGACATGCACATATTTACCTATGTTCTTTGCCAGAGGGAAATTGTATTTTATTTTATTTTATTTTATTTTATTTATTTATTTATTTTGAGTTGGAGTCTCACTCTGTCGCCCAGACTGGAGTGCAGTGGCTGCTCCCGGCCACCGCAGCCTCGACCTGCTGGGCTCCGGCGATCCTTCCGCCTCAGCCTTCCGAGTAGCCGGAATTACAGGCAGGCGCTACCACGCCCGGCTGATTTTTTTGATTTATTGTAGAGATGAGGTCTTGCTGCTCAGGCGGTTCTCGAACCCGCGGGCTCAGGCAATCCACTCACCTCAGCCTCCCAAAGGCACAGAATTATAGGCTGAGCCACCAAGCCCGGCTGGGAAATTGTATTTTAAAAACATATTATGATGAACATGAAAACACATTAGTCATGTAGGATATATGGTTGTAGAAAAACTCTGCCCCCAAAATTTATGAGTCTCAGATAACCCAGAAGCTAGTATTTTTCAGTAATGCAGAGTAAATGAAAAGACCACTAGGCAAGACATTGTTAATATTGACTGTGGATTCAGTGTGGGTTATGTAGTTCTATAGGTCCTTGGGAGCAAAAGAAGGAAAAGACTTGTGCAGCAGAAAGAGAACGGGGGAAGTGTAGAGAACGGTGCCATTTGTATTGCGTGTAGAGTTTCTGATTGGGGGATTAGGTGGTTGTTAGTATTTATAAAACATCATCAGTTACTACAACCCAATATTTCATATAATAAAAGTCCCTTTATTGTAAAAATAAAATATTTATTTTCTTTGAAATGTAAGGTTACGTAGCTTGCAGTGAAAGATGAGCCATTATGGGTCTAAACTACACAAAGGCAGGACAAGACAATTTAATTGTGTTGTATAAGTAGTACAAAAGTGGAAAAATTGGCCTGTGTTAGGTCCTATAATGATTAAAGCATTAAATAGTTCTGATGTCATTAAAATAGTACCAGCCATTATAACATTGTATTCATTGATTTAATAATACCATGTGCTATTTCAAATATTTGATTCTATGATTTTGGTTACTATTGATAGTTAAAATTTATTTGCTTCATTCTGTTTATTCACAAATAGTACTTTGACCTGGCTGGAGCTTTGAAGATTTAAAAGCTTTAGCATATGGAAAATTAAAATCATGCCTTTCACTTGGATGATTGCACCAAATCCTTTCATAACAGACTCTAAAGCTTGATGCATGATAGTATTTACACAGATGTTCAAAAAGTAAATACTAGAGGTAGGGATTGTTGCGGGGATTATGCTGTCATTAGTTGTTGCAGTTGCTTTTTTTTCTTCTAGAATAGAATAAGAAAGCATAGACTTAATTTTCAGCTGAAAGCAGCTTGCTTGGAATGAGAAGAAACTCGCATGGTTTCTTATTGCACTCAGAATAAAAAAATGCCAACTCCTAACTGTGATACAAAGCCATGCTCTGGTGCCTGCCAACAGCTACATGACTAGCTTCATTTTTTAAAACTACTATTCTTGACTCCTTTTTTGTTCTCGTTTTGGGGCCCTTCCATTTGTTCCTCCCTCTCCATGGATCATTCCTTTTGCCGTTTTTTTGTGGTCCCTCGAACACTGGTGCTTTAGACCCTCTACATTTGCTTTACCTTCATCCTAGTGTTTCCCTCCAGATATCGGCATGATTTATGCCTTTTGCTTTATTTGGATATCTTTCCTTCAGATACCATCAGAGAAAATTTTCCTGTCGAAACTAGCCTTTTGCTCCCTATTCTCCCTTATCATTCCTCCTCGCTTTCCCAGATTGTTTTCAGTATAGCACTTAGTTGTACCTGACAATGAATTTTGTATTTGTTTCCACCGTTTAGAAGGCAGGAACTTTGCCTTGTTCTTGTCTCTGTCCTTAGCATCTACAACAGTGACTGTCAGGGAGGAGGTACTCAAATAAGTACTGAGGAATAGATAAATATTTGCCTAATTAAGCTATGAAGACAGGTCACTATGGAGCTGTTGTCTTAGACATATGTGAGTTAACTATTTGGGATGACTAATAGAGAGATGACTAGCCATGGTGGAGGCCGAGAGCCAACAAACATGTGCCAGGCTGGAGAATCAGAATCATAACTTTATGTCCTGTCTGGTCACAGTGATTAGTCTTGGACATCTTGTCCCATGCTGAGCAGACGGACAGAGCACCTCCTTCATTCAGTGAGGCCCTTTCATTACCCTGTTTACTATAACTCTTCTCTTGAGTCTGTCCCCAGAGCTCCCCAGAGCTCCTCTGACCTGGAATTCTTTTAGTAATGAATGTTTCCCCCCTTGGTTTCTGTTTCTGTCCCCGAATTCCAGTGGGCAGAGATAGGTCATGTGAACTAGTTCAGAGTTTGATGTTTGTAACTATTCACATTAGACCTGAACTGGTATTGGTCTATGGAAAAGGCTGATGAGTTCTTCTCTTCTAATTTTTTGTCTCCAAGGCAGAGCAGAAGTTAAGGGAAAAAATTTAAAACTGTATTTTGAGAACTCTTATTACAGAAAATATGCGCATCCACCACATATTATTACCAATGGCTAGAGAATCTATTCATTTAAAGTAGATTTTTAATGAGGCTATATCTTATGTAGGACGTTTTCCTTATTTACAAAGATTAATTAATTCATTTGGTGGAGACATTTATTGAGTGAAAACTTTATGTGGTCAGATTTGAACAATCCCTGGCTTTTGCCCTTTGTACATAGCAGCATTGAGAGCATGTGTTGTAGGGACACCAAAGCAGGAGTCATCAACTGTAAGGTTAAGAAGAGAGAAGTGTCTCGGAAACTTGCTTGTTTGCTTTATTTATTTATTTAAGACAGGAGAAGTATCCTGGAAGCTTTGTTTGTTTATTGAGATGAGATTAAGAGCGGAATTACCTTGGAATTTGCTTTATGTATGTATTTATGTATTGAGATGAGATCTTGCTGTGTTGCTGAGGCTGGTCTTGAACTCCTGGGGTCAAGCAGTCCTCCTGCCTCAGCCTCCCAAAGTGCTGGGTTTACAAGCAGGAACCACTGTGCCCAGCCAGGAAGGTTCTCAAGGGAAGGAAAAGTTGAACGGGTGTTTGGCAGATAGGGCCACGGAGTTTGTGTGGAAGGAGACCTGGACTTTCTTTTTTTCTTTTTTTTGTGACCATAGGTTTTTATTTCTCTTGGATAAATACCTAGAGGCATTAAGGCAGTATGCAATAAATATATGTTTAACTATACAAGGAACTGCCAAACTATATATATATTTTTAAAGATGAAGTTTATTTTATTTCAGTATTTTTTTTCCATATGTTTTATTTTAAAATTATGAGGTACAGTTAAGGGTTAGGCATACAAATATGCATTGTGCAGAGACCTGGACTTTCAAAAAGCAAAGATGTGGAATTGCTGGACCAGTGGGGATCCCTGCCGTCAAGCATGCCCGGGGCATGTAAACATAGAGGAGGAAGACTCTATGAGGAATGGGTGAAAGAGGAAGTTGAAAGAGGGAGAACAGGCTAAGGGGGTGCGACTGTGTCTCAAAGGTAGTGGGAGTGATGTAAAAGATCTATTCAGGGAGATAGCAGAGCGTCTTTGTGTTGACGCCAGATCTCCGGGACGGCGAAGTGAAGAGTGGCGTGGAGGCAGGAAGGCCACAGAGAGCAGATGACCAGAAGCCCTATGTTCTGAGACACAGGCCTGACTTCACGAAGAAGGAGAGCTTACCGGAGCAGGGGCTCCAGGTGAGCCGATTCAAGTACAAGGGCGTGTTGGGCACAGTGGACACTTTCCTGACATTGCCAGTATATATGACATGCTCAGCTTCCTCAGCGGTTATATTAGCTTCAGAACTCAGCAAGTCATATTTCACATTAAGTAAAACGAGAAACAGCTAAATGGCTGGCACTGATGTAGTATTTACTGCAAAACAACTTAGCTTGGTGGCATGAATATCTGGGGAGAATGGATGAAAATTGAGTAGACACTCGAATATTTTTGTGGTTGGTTATGTATATAAAAGCCTTAATCCCGTCTTCCTCCTACATAGAGTACATGAAGCATAAGGATTTTGTTCATGTTTTTAAAAAAGGAGTTCAGGAAATTACATGCTGAGTGGCAAGTCCATTTAGTGTTTATTTTTGATGACTTTTAGGTGGCCCTTGAATTTTTACGGTCACTGTTACATCAGGAAAATGATTTAAAAGGTCACTAGTCAGGTTCTAACAATTCTCCTAGAAAGGTACAACGAAGAAATGACTTTTAATAAGCTTGTTTAATATTACGTTTTAATTTAAATAAGCACTCAACTTGGTTTTGAATCAGTGTCTTCAAGTCTACCCTCTTCTATGAAATATTCATGTTGGTAAAGCTGAGCAAGAAGGTGGAAATGTATAAAAAAGACATTTATCTAACTGTGGGTTTCAGGTATGTATATTTTTGTGTATGAATGTATATGTTGTATTTCTTTAAGAACTGTCCACTTTTGGAAGAATATAGTAATAAGTAGTTTGATTGTTTAGTATATTTTTGAGAAACAGATTGGATCCATTGGGATTGGAATAATTTGGGAATTCCATACATGTACTCTTAGGGCAATTGTCTCAAAGGTAAACGTATGAATCCTGAGTGAAGCTCAGTCAATGGATTTGAAATAGTAGGAGTGATAGTAATGTGGTAGCAGTAGTGTTAGTTATGGTTAGAACTAGCAGCAGCTGCCAACTCTTAGCACAGAGTCCATTGTTTTGTACAATACATATTTGCTGAATATATAATTGAAGACATAGGATCTATGTGTTTCTTTCATTTATTTAAATTTTTACAGTAGCCATGTAAAATAGGGACTAGTTACCCTCATTAACAGATGAGGAAATTGAGTCACTAAGGAATAAGGTAATTTCTTCAAGGTTATATGGGGCTAGGATTTGAATTCAGGCATGTCTGACTTTAAGCTCATATTTACATCATTGGTTACTGTGTTTTTTCCACCTGATTTCTGACTCCCTCTTTCAGTCTTAAATAGATTAAAATCCTGGTATGTAACCTCTAGCTACAACCAGAGTGTGCATAGTATTGATTTTATATTGGAAATGGTTGGAAATGGAGAATCTCACTAGAATGAATGGCCAATAATGATGTAGGAGGGTTTGCTGATGGTATTTGTTGGAGTTCTGGTAAATCAGATTTCCCAGGATTATTGCCTCAGCAATATCTCCTGCCCCTTCCCTGACCATCTGCAAGATGCCATGCACCAGGAACAGTGTTTGGGAGAACTTTAGAGTCTACACACTGGGGTTTTAAAGCTGTGCCTTTTTGATGGTAGAAACTGTATAAATGGTTCAAAAGTACAATGTATGTTAAACAGACACTTGGAATTTCACTGTGATTCTAAGAAGGTTTGTGTACTTATTGAGCAAGTGAGAATTGTTAGCACCCTCAGGGGAGGAATCCCACCTTGTGGAGGATAGCAAGATGCATAACAGCATCTAGCACTGAGCAGCAATCCAGGATGTCAACCCAGCACAGGTGTTGGGGTCATCAGGAAAGACATGACTCCCACAGGCACTGGACAGAACAATTCTGCGCTCAGAGAAGAGGCAGCAAAATCAGCTTCAATAGTGAGCGTTGGTCCCCATGGCCAGTGGGTTTCACTCTGCAGTCCATGCAGGGAGGTGGTCTGCATATGCCCTCTGATGCTGCAGGCAAAGGACCCTGTTCTGTCCCTGTCAGATGTAGCAATGAGGTTGGCTGTATGTATCATATGATGCACATGCTTAAGCAGAGTGAAGGCAGCTGGAAGAGGGAAAGGTATTCCCTAAGAGAGATGCCCAGCACAGGCTGTGAAAGCTCTTTATCTCTTTGTAAGGAGGTGTTGCAGGCCCGAGGCATATAGTTATATTACTGTTATGTGATGTGACAAGCTATACGCCACTGTGCTTCCCAAGGGAGCCTAAAGTTGTGTCCAAAATATCTCCTGCCTAGGAGTTGTATAACAGACTTCTACTCTGTTTTAAGAACTTTTCTTAATTAATAGTTATTAGTCTGACAATTGGATTTCTTTGTATTTTTTGTATCTTTAAAGAGTTTGTATAATATTTTAAAAGTGTTAGATTATTTATGCTCAGTGTCGTTGATTAATCATTACATGTAATCCTTTTTTCTAATAGTTTACTAGTTTCCTAAACTGTAGCATAGAGAGCTTTACGTTTGTTGTTATTTGGGATTGTATCAAGATGGAGAGTTAATGTGGGCTTTTGGCTCCTTCTCCAAAACTAATCGGCAAAACTACAGAGGTAAGAGGAATGCAGGGATCTGAGGAAGTGCCTCCGATAGCCATGAAAAATGCTAGGGGTGACTGAGGCCGTTGCAGGTTGGTGTCTATGTGTAGGTGGTTTAGGCCATGGTGCTGGTGACCTGAAGCAGCAGGAGAGGCAAAACTGTTTTATTTTCTTTTAAGTTTTGTTTTTTATCTGACTTTCTCTAATTACTTTGAGATAATAATTGCCTGCCCCTTTGCTACATAAATTGGTATCAGTTGAGTCATGTTAGGGCAGCACAAGGCTACTGGGGTAAGGAGCTGTTTTAAGCCAATCAACTGCCCCAGGGCCCATTAACCCCTGGAGCTTACAGATTATATACTACTGAGATTGCTTTCCCCCTGCTGCTTCCAGAGATTTAAAGACTCTTATTGGTAGGCAGCAAATAGGAATGGTCAGGAAGAGGTATTTGTTGCCGGTGGCTCATCCATCCATCTCAAATTCACCAAGAGGGATGTTACTAGGACTTGTGTTTTAGCCATTTAAAAAAAATGTGTTTCTAGACCTAGTTGCTCATAGCCTTGGATGAATGTGAACTGACTGATCCAAGTAATTGTATGGAGAGCACAGCCACAATTAAAAACATGAAGAAATAAGAAACTGGGTAGTGTAGACCTCATGAAGCAGAATTATTAGAAACAGGAGATCAGTAATTTATTTTTTTTGTTTTTTATTATTTTATTTTATTTTGAGTTGGAGTCTTACTTGGTCGCCCAGACTGGAGTGCAGTGGCATGCTCCCAGCCACCGCAACCTCGACCTGCTAGGCTCAGGCAATCCTTCCGCCTCAGCCTTCCAAGTAGCTGGAACTACAGGCGTGTGCTACCACACCCTGCTAATTTTTTATTTATTGTAGAGACGAGGTCTTGCCAAGTTGCCCAGGTGGGTCTTGAAGCCGCGGGCTCAGGCAATCCACTTGCCTTGGCCTTTCAAAGTGCTGGGATTATAGGCTGAGCCACCGAACCCTGCCAGAGATCAATAATTTAAAATGAACATGATAAATGCAACTGAGTGATAAAGGAAAATAGTAGTAAACAAGAATCCATTAGAAAAAACAGAGTGGGGACATTAGATATGACAAATATGGGAGTTGAAGTAAAGAACTTAATAAATCAGGTAAATAGGATGAATATAGGTAAAAAGGAATTATTGAACTTGAATATCATTTTGAGGACTTCTGAAGGCAGAAGGAAAAATAGAGGTAGAAAATGTTGGAGAAAGCTAAGACATATGAAGGAGAGAGTTAGTAAGTACCAGCCTTCAGATAACAGAATTCCCAGAATGGAGAAAAGAAATTGAAGGAGAGAAAAATATTCAAAGAAATAATAATAATATATTACTCAGAATTAAGAAGGAAGACTTCGGACTGAAAGGACCAATAGAAAATCATTCAGAAAAGAGACAAACATACACACACAAACAGCATCTTGGTAGACTATAGTGAAGTTTAGGAATATCAAAACCAGAGAAATCTAAAAAAAATTTAGAATGAAAGAATAAATTATCCACAGAGGAACATGAATCAGACTAAATTAACTTTATAGTCTTGAGGTTCTCAGTTATTCTGCATATTTGAGGTAAGGAAAATTATCTATATAATGTATAATCCAGCATGTGTGAAATAAATTTATAAATTTATATTGCATTTGATAAGTTATTTCTCAACATAATAAGGACTAAATGAGGTTGATATATAAGTTAATAGCATATGTTTTTGACATGGCAATACTGCAGTGTGGGGAGTTTATCATTTGGAGTGACAATGTTGTGCTTGTGGATATGCCTTGCATTTTGCAGATTTGAGGAAAGTTAGTGCGACTTGTGGGCTGAAGAAGATAGGGAATCAAGTGGAAAAAAATGAACACTTCCAACATATTCTGTTTGAGTTTAACAGAAGAGTAAGGCAGTGAAGACAGCTCGAAACATTTGTGCCCTGTAGGGAAGAATGCCATCAGGGGAAGCACGGCAACCAAAGGTTTTGTCATTTCAAAGAGGGCCATTTGGCCTGAGTGATTCTCTGCATTCAGGAAGACAATCAGGCTTTGATGAAGACCCTTTAGAACAGTGAAAAATGCTGCAAACTTATGCATCAACCCAGTATTTTCTTTATAACTTTTCTGATTGAAAAAAGATATAGGGTGGAAGGCATGATAGATGATTTTGTATACGTATTTTGGAGAAGTTGCTATCATTTTCATTAAAGAGGTACGTCTCTCCTTTGGGTGCTAGAGTGTGTGCTATTCTCTTTGATCTCATATTGGAGTATGCATATTTTAGAAATGCTTTCTTGCAAACATACATATAAAAATGATTTTTTTGTTTCTAACAATAATATTTGACACAAGTGATTTTTAGTCATACTTTATTATGTACCTGGATTCATAAATATTCATTGAAATAGCGTGTTATTATTGCTTGTGTATCAGGCAA